GAGCATCAAATTGGACCCAAGTGATATACAATTAATAAAAAATATCTACTACAATCAAACGGCAGTGGTTCGAGTTGGGGACATCGAGACTGATGAAGTCGAGATTCAAAAAAGAGTTCGCCAGGGCTGCGTTCTATCACCACAACTGTTCAATCTATACTCTCAGTTTGTATTTCAAAAGCACTTTACGAGAGACCTGAGGGGGGTAAACATTGGAGGGACATTGATTAACAACCTAAGATTCGCCGATGATACTGCCATAATGGCCGAGAGTGCAGAAGATCTTCAAACCCTGTTGGAAGGAGTCAGTCGAGAGTGTGAAGAAGTGGGACTTGCTATAAACACGCAGAAAACTAAAATGATGGTCATAAGCAAAAACCCAAATATTAACCCTATTCTGACAGTAAATGGGAACCGAATAGAGCAGGTCCAAAAATACAAATATCTCGGCTCTACCATAAATTCTGAAATGGACCCTGATCAGGAAATTAAGATCAGAATTGAAATGGCTCGAAATGCATTTATGAAATATTCCACATTGCTCACAAACAGAAATTTAAACCTTGTCATCAGGTTGAGATTCGTGGAGTGTTATGTGTGGTCGGTGTTAATGTACGGGTAGAAACTTGGACGCTGAAGACTCAAATGATTAAAAAGCTCGAAGCATTTGAGATGTGGCTCTATAGGCGCATTCTGAAGATACCTTGGACTGATAGAATAAGCAACGACGAAGTGTTGAGACGCATAGGCCGAAAACAAAAACTTCTCACAATCATTAAGATAAGAAAAACATCTTACGTGGGACACATATTACGCAGTGACAAATATCTACTGTTACAAAATATTATGCAGGGCAGAATTGAGGGGAGGAAGGGTATCGGCAGAAAGAAAAAATCCTGGCTCCGAAACATTAGAGAGTGGACAAATCTTGGCGTTGGAGAATTGTTCCATGTTGCAAAAGACAGAGAAGAATTTAGAAAAGTGGTCGCCAACCTTCTATGAGAAGACGGCATGGAAAGAAGAAGATACAAAGTAGTAAATCTCTGGATCAGGGAAAACCAGACTGGGGATGGAGACACATCAAGACCTTCATCCAAGAATCTACTTACTACTAAAGCCAATAAATTTTACTAAACTGGTCTTTTTTTATAAAATAAGACAATTTATTCTTCAAAGGCGTGCATCGAAAAAGTATTGATTCACGCATCGCTACTGAGTTTTCGTAATGTACAGGGTGAGTCAATGATAAATTTTATTATCTCGTTTGTTTTCAGAATCACGAAAAAAACGTATCGAGGAAAGAAACGAAACCTCGTATCCTATACACATAATATTTTTATGGAGATAGCCTACATCGCAATATTTAACATGCTGTATCTCAATTCTTCAAAACGCAATACTCTGTAAACCGACCGGGTGCGTCTCAAAAGTAGCTCACCCGTATAAATTTTTTATTTTATCAGATAAAAAAACGAGGTTTGGTATGTTAGTATATGACATAAATTAGGATTGATTAACGTATTTAATTGTTTTCGGTCATTTCCTGTTTCACCGGAAATAACTACAACTTTTGATTTTTAAATAGCACCCTCGGTATAGAAAATGACACTCTGTATAGAATGACCTATCATAATATGTCAACTTTTGACATTTTCGAATATAATTTGTTTGAAATTGCAACATGCGGTTCATAACGACAATATGACTCGAAATACCGAGTGCGCGGTACCAAATTATCCGTAAAAAATGTTTTCTTTTTCAAATATGATAATGAGATATGATTAAAAATACGATGTTAATCTGGGTTAACAATAAAAAACAAACAAACAATCACGGCGGGTCTCGATCTATTTCAGAAAACATGGGAATTCATTTTTATAACACGGTCTTATATTTATCGTACTATTTCCAGAAATGTTTTGCGAAATGTTTCACGAAATATTTCGTAAAACATTTCGGGGATTTTAGAGGCTGTTCTAGCCTGTTTTCTCCGCATACTTTGTTCACTCACTTCCCCTACCAGGTCCCCTCACCCTTCCACCTCCGCCACTGCCCTACCCCTGCGGCGGTCGACGCCTCGACGCCACTGATCGATATTTCCGCGTGCAGCCGCGAAGCACACACAGAGCTGTCCAAACAGATAAAAAAGTACACATTTCAGTACAATTGCGTGCATCCACGTACATAGGCACAAGAAACTAGATGAACAAAACAGCGATTTTCCAATCGCAGTTGAAACTGTTGATTCTCCTCTATAGTCTGTCCAACGAGAAGATCCTTGACAGTGATAGATGTGTCTGTCATTTTAATTTTAAAGTAGTTTATTTTATTTTACAAAGAAATAAGTTGGTACAACTGGAACGCATAGCAGGAAATATTTAAAATTTGATTGACAAGATGACAAGTGATTACTTCAAAATATTGTGAAAAAAACTGAATAAAACTGAAAAAATGTAATCGAGTTATTTTATTTAATAAAAACGGTATGTGTTAATACAAAACAAACAAGAACAAGACACTACATACAAAAAAATATAAAAAAGAACTATTATTTACTTTCAAGCTTTATGAAACTACCCGCATTTATGATTATATTTATCAATATAACTTATGTACAAATACCAATTTGTAATATTCCACAGGAATAAATAAAACAACATAGGTAAATAAAACAAACTATTTTATTAATAACACCTACCAAATTTTATACCTTAAAGGTTGATTAATTAACTTTAATCTTATTTTTTTTAAACCAGTACCTTTTGACATTATTTTTCTGCAGTACTAAAATCCATTATTTACCTATCGTGTGATGTCAATATTTTACAGCTACTCCAGTTTTTAGTATGTGTTTAGTTTGATCCTTCTACCATATACGAGATGCACTATCTACGACGAAATGGTATACAAACTTTATCGATGGCAACTTCATTGGTGTATAAGACTTTCTGCCTGGCAGTAGTTAACCATAAACTACAGCTCTGGGTCTACAGTTAATTTTCACTCGATTTTTCCTCCACTTGACTTCAAAATACACAAAACACGCGTAATAATACGAATCAAAATGCATCATCTTCCAAACCAGGTTATTTAACAAAAGTTGACACAAAAATTATAACCTATAATTTGGCAAGACTTTGACAAACGTCAAAATGACAAAAATCTAAAGGCGAGTTCATACGCATCGGCGTCCGTTTGTCGTTCATCGTTCCGTCAAACCAATAAAATTGAAATACGATCTGTCATTTTTTTTAAATAAACCAATAAAACTGGTTAAAAACAACAAGACACGACGCATGACGGACTTATATTTAAACCCAATATTAGAAACTTTTTTTAGTAAAATAAATAGATTGGTATGGGACGTCATCTGCTTTTCTTCTGTCATCGTCTGTCGAAATCTTACCTGAGAAAAAAAAACAGAGTATAATAGACAAAATAATACAGATATATGCAACTTTATACAAAATAAATAATTATAAAAAACTTCGAACCTGGAAAAAAAGGGATAAATGGGATGGAGCTGCGATTGCAAATTGCAGTGACAAATCGCAACTGTAGTACCATTGGTTGTCTAAAAATCCAAAGTAATAAGAAGAAAATCCAAAATAAAAAGTTTAACTAGATTTTTTTTAAAATTAATAATTTAAGAGTTATCAACAGAAAATTTGATTTTTTGTTTGGGACACCCTAAAGGACTTAAAAGTACCTTTCCAAAAATATAGCACACTTCATATTTTGTTATAAAATATAGAATTTTTCAGAAGTTTGTCACTTTTTTCTAGTAGGTTTTGGACCCCTTGTTGATGATCTGTCCCTAATGAAACTCGAAAACATATTTTTTCAGCAAGACGGGGCACCGCCCCAGAACGCTGAAGTTATCAGCAAATTTTTGCAGCCAATAATTTGAGAATTACAGTTGAGGGTTGGAACCTTTGGTGTTACACAGCAAAATAAAAACACTAAATCACCACAATACACCAAAACACTTTTACTTTTACACTGGACGCGCGTTTCGCTAACCATGTTAGCATCATCAGCAGATGATTAATAATTCAATATAAACTAATGAGTGAGTTTATAATCATCTGCTGATGATGCTAACATGGTTAGCGAAACGCGCGTCCAGTGTAAAAGTAAAAGTGTTTTGGTGTATTGTGGTGAATTAGTGTTTTTATTTTGCTGAATTTGAGAAACTACTCGAGAATTGGAATCATCCGATTATTCCCAACACTAAGCGGACTATACTCCCAACTAGTAGTGGGAACTATCGAAACATTCGATAGTTGCAATTCATTCGAATAATTCGATAGCTAGTAAAAAACATTCGTTGAAAACCATTCGAATAAAAATTATCGAATAGATGCGTCATATGCCTTGAAATATTGTATTCTAGTAATTCGGCAGCAAAAACCATTCATTTATAAAATTCATTCATTTATAAAATTCATTCATTTATTCGTCAGGATCCATTATAATAAAATATTAACTGGATTTTAGTTGTCGCCCGGCGACGTAGGTTTCTTTCCGAGAAACCCGACAGGCGGTCGGTGGCAATGCTATGAAAGAAGCCGGCATCTTACAATCGTCAATTAAAAAAAAATACTATTTTAGTATTTTAAATATTTTAATAAACGCAAAAATAGCACAGTATTTATAAGGTGAAGTTATAAAAATTTGGAAGAACTAATAATGCACTGACGCACACAAAAGTCAAACGAAAACTAAATTTAATTTATCAAAAGCATTCGATAGTCGTAGTTCAACGATAACCATTTAGTTGCACGGCGAGGTTGTCACATCTGCTTTAGTATACAAATGAATGAATGATTTTATTCGAATAAAACCATTCGATAGTTGAAATCATTCATTCAGTAACCATTCGATAGTCTAATTCATTCGATAGTTCCCATCGCTACTCCCAACCCTGGTTTCAGTACACAACGTTACCAACAAAGCACATCCTTGAGCGCAGAGCAGAGAGCAGAGCGAATAGTTTAGGAGCCTGAGCGCTGCTGGACCTATCCGAACCTCAGCGGACGACAAACAGCGCGGTCTAGAGAGAAGCGAGAGGTTTCTGTCAGCGATATCGTCGCCCATCATCAGACAGAAGCAGGTCCTGGACGTGGTAGTACCATCTCTCGTGAGACACTAGTACATCGTTTTGCGTACTATCAGTCAGTGTTTTTTTCTCTTTGAAGGGAAATTAGTCGGGTCGTCGGTGGTTTACGTAATAGTTGTGATCGGGGTTGTGATTTTGGAGTTGTGTCCTACATAAAGGTAAGTTTAGTGTGTTATTTTTCCTACTATATCCAGATTTTTTTTTTATTTGAGATACTCACTATAATGTTCTTTATAAGATTTTTTTTCAGAAAATATATAAGTAGCTCGTTCAGTAGTCTATAATATATTTTTATAATACTATTTTTATACAGGAGTCGCTCGTTTTAAGAGGGGGTTACATTGTTTGAAAACACTGCGTATATTGAAACAAATTTTTTATTACATAAACTATTACAGATGGGGGTTGGAACCTTTAGTGTTACAACAGCAAAATAAAACACTAACATGGTTAGCGAAACGCGCGTCCAGAGCATAGTTAAAAGTGTTGTATTGGTGTATTCTGGTGAATTAGTGTTTTATTTTGCTTTATAAACAACATTATAAATGCATATATACCGGGTGCGTCTCAAAAGTGGCTCACCCCTATAACTTTTTTATTTTTTTCAGATAAAAACACGAGATTTGGTATGTTAGTATATGACATAAATTAGGATTGATTGACATATTCAATTGTTTTTGATCACTTCCTGTTTCATCGGAAATGACTACAACTTTTGATTTTTAAATGGCACCCTCGGTATTTTTTTAGTTTATTCGATAGAAAATTACATTCTGAATAGAATGACATAACCAATACGGGAACTAGGATCGGAGTGTTTGGGCCGAGAGCTAATTACTCCGAACCAATGGGCACTTACCCTAGTATCCTACAGGCAGAAATCTACGCTATCGAGAGATGCGTACAACTTATCTTAGATAGGAACTATCGGAAATAAGAAATAGCCATCTTATCTGATAGTCCAGCAGCGTTAAAGGCGATCAACTCAGTATCAATCAATTCGAAATTGGTCAAAGAATGCATAGAGAAGCTGAATAAATTAGGCAAAGAAAACAAAGTCCTCCTACACTGGGTGTCTGCTCACCAAGGGATAGAAGGCAATGAAAAAGCAAATAATCTAGCTAGGAAAGGAGCGAACACTCCACTAACTGGACCAGAACCGTTCTGCTTTCCAAGTGGTAACCAACTCAAGGCGGAACTCAAGAACTTGGAAGATTCCATCCGCAACCTGGAATGGAAATCTTGCAATGGTCTAAGACACTCGAAGAAGTTTCTGAGGGCTTATGATCAAGAAAAATCACAGATCTTCCTGGGTCTGAGTAAGAACAATCTTCGGATTGTCACGGGGTTTTTAACAGGACACTGTCTCCTCAATGAACATCTCAGTAGATTGAAACTAAGAAGAAAGGACGAAGGCAGATTTTGTGGGGAAGATGGGGAAACACCAGTACACCTCATCACTGAGTGCGCCGAGACGACAACCATTCGTGCCATGAATTTTGGTACGACTGATATTGGAGATGGAGAACTACCCTCTATAAAACCGTCCCAGATACTGGCTTTTATCAAAGCCCTGAGACTGTATGATGAGTTATGATTCAAGAAAGGGGGACACAATGGTTCTGTAAGGTCGAAGTGATTAACCCCCCTCCCACTCATTCTAAATTCTAAATTCTAGAATGACATATCATACGTCAACTTTTGACATTCTCGCTTAATAAAAAATCGTATTTTAAAATTCAATCTAGAGTGCCATGGCTATGTTAAAAACACTAATTCTTAATCAAGAAGCCTGGAAAAAATAGATTTTATCGTCTAATGTTTTTAGTGTCTTGTCCTGGCCAGTTAGAAAATGCTCGAAACGTATTTTTAAACATATCTCTTTTTTTTCAAATGAAACGAGGGTGGCTCGTTAGCATATTTGGAAAAAGCATTTTTTTACCAATAATTTTATACCACACACTTGACATTTCGAGTCAAATTTTCGTTACGAACCGCAAGTTATAATTTCAAATAAATCATATGCGAAAATGTCAAAAGTTGACATATGATATGTCATTCTATTCAGAGTGTCATTTTCTATCGAATATACTAAAAAAATACCCAAGGTGTCATTTAAAAATTGAAAGTTGTAGTCATTTCCGGTAAAACAGGAAGTGACAGAAAACAATTGAATACGTCAATCAATCCTAATTTATGTCACATACTAACATACCAAATCTCGTTTTTAACTCAAATAATAAAAAAGTTTTAGGGGACCACTTTTGAGACGCACCCGGTATATTTTATGAAGAACATTTCTAAAAGTATGTATAGTTCATGTCAAATAAACTTTTAGTCGCGTGATTAAGCTTGACAGGCACAATGTTGCCCACTTTTACATATTTTCTTTTAATCAAAGTATTTTAAGAAACAAAAATAAATTAATTATAAATATCTAAACAGTTATTATTTACATCAACAAAACTCACCTTCTTAACAGTACACATAGGGACATAAATGGCCATTATACTACCGTTTTCCCGTTCATAATATTCTAATAAACTTGCGATGAGTTTCTTTACGGCTATTAAACTATTTTGTACTCACTTCGCACTAAAAAAAGATTCTAAAAAGAATAATGTTCGACTGCAAGGTCTGCTAGTAAATATTTTTAGGCTTTAAGTATCACAACACTATCTATTTAAACCAAAAACTCGTAATACAAAACTAAAGTCCTAAACGAATGACAATATCAAGAAATAAATAAATAAATGCGGCAACTTGACATTTTTTACAGCAAAGCTACCACCTGAATCTCCAGCGGGACATTTAAATTCTAATTAGTCAGCACGGCGCCGAAAATGTTCATGGTTGGCAACAATGAATTTAAAAATCGCGTCCTCGATTATGTAACTAAAAGTTTAATTGATATCAGATACATATATATTACTAGTTTTCATAAAATGAAATCAATGGAGATTTCATTGATGTCATTTTATATGATATCACATGATCATCTGCAAAGTTTCAAATAAAATTCAAATGTGTCAATCGAACGTCAAACAGAAATGTCAAAGATGGGGGATTAAAAAAAGCAAAGAAAAAAAGAGCGCTTAAATTATGGAGAGTGTAGAGATAAGGAGAAATATCTCTTATGGGACTTTATTTCAAAAAGTTGTCACAAAAATGGGAAGAATAAGGGTTCACCAAATGACCACAGTGGCGCTAAAGACGCATAAATCTAAAAAATGAAAAGTAACAGTAACCATACATAAGAGAACAAAAGTCACATACCCAAAAGAGCTTTGTTTTTATTTTTTAGAATATAAAAAAAATATTTTTTATATTCTAAAGTAAACTTTGGATAAACTATATTACAATGGTTATTAGTTGTTCAGCTTTCAAGTGTAAAAGCAGCAGCGATAAGGAAGAGCCAGGAGTTACGTTTCATAGGTAAATAAACAGTCCACTCCAACTTTTTAGCGTTTTCTTATTGAATTCGATAATTATTCTTCAATTTCAATTAACATCTATATGTACTTGATATGTGCTATACGTCGATAATACTTTTGTACCTTTTGTTAACATTTTAATACGTTTTTTTCGTAATTAATTAGTATGATACACCATAGGCGTAATCAAAACAATTATCAAAAAATATAAATATTGCTTCAAACAGCTAGGTTAAGAAAAATATGTGCCACGGCACTGTTTGGTGACATCGGCACAATTTGCTCTCGGGTGTTATTTGTCCTTGGATTCTTTAGTCATTGGAGTTTGCTCAAAGAGTTTGCTTAATTTAGGCGCTACTGATTAAAAAAGCATAGATCTTTAAAGCATGAAAACATAGATAACACTATACTCCTTCCTTAAGAGTCTATTACGCTGTAATTGGAATTTTAAATTAGGTCTTTATTTTCGAGAAAATTTAGTCCAAACATAAAGAATATTTTGTTGATGTTTGATCATCAAAATCTTAAAAATAAAGAAGTTGTCTAAAAATGTGCTACAATACGGATATAGTAAAATCCTTTATCTTTAATTTCCTTCTTAATTTGTGTAAAAATACCTAGCCAGTTTCACATAAAACGTTAAATGCCGAACGCTTATTTTGCTACTTTTTTGGACTAGCGAAATGGACTCTTAATCTTTTTATTCAAAGGATTTAGCTAATTTATTTTGACAAGCTCCAACCTTATGAAAATTTCATTATTAATTTTGAGATATCTTTTAAAATATTCTAGCCGTATTTCTGGGTCTCCCAGATCCCTAGAATTTATTTTACGGAATTTTTCAGTGGTATAACGTAATTTAGAGCAATTTACTCTAAAGACCTTAAGCTCTTATTTGCAGCCCAGGCATATTTTTCAGTGTTACGAGGTGGAAATTGCATATTCCTAAAATTTATTCCATCTAAACTTTTTTTTTGTTTTAGTATACACGATGCGTGTTAAATAAGTGCAAATATTTTTAATGATAGTACATTTCAACCCCAGAAATACGTCTATGAGATCTATTGTGTCTCCGTTTCTTGACAAAAGCCAGTATCTGACGGTTTTACAGAGGTTAGTTCTCCATCTCCGATATATCCCATAATATTTTAAAAACGTGACAGCATCGGAAGAAGATTAAAATTAGAGGAACAAATTACAGAAAAAATTCGGTTGCTGTCAAATTTTTTCCAAAAAAAAATATTTTTTTTTTAAATTTTCGAACTTGAATAATTCGGTTATTTTGGACTTATTTGAAAAACGGTAAAGAGAAACTATGTTTCCTTGATCGAACCAGTAGAACAATCAGAACATGAATTTATAAAACGTGCATTTCAAATTATGAAGGCTGTATTTCTCATTATTTTAAAATGAAATATATCCATCAGACATTTTTTCTTCTACAGTAACTTGACGTCCTTTAATGTTATTTGGGTCTTTAAAAGTAGTAATTTGATACACTTTAATTTGCTTTAACCCCTAAGGGTAAATTGATCCTAGTCTGCTAGCACTCACTGCTTTATAGCGTCTTTACAAACGTATTAAATAATTACTAGCTTTAAATGGCAATAACTCTTTTAATTTAAATAGAACACCCTGTATATTTTATGAGAATCAGATGCACAATTTAATTGTCTATCAAATTGTATTATACCATTTTTTACGTATCTCTTCAAGTTTTTCTA